GATTACTTTGTTTTGAGGCTTAAGTTCATGCCGATTATGTCCAAACTTTTAGGGGCAGGTTTGGGTCGTGACAGGTCCCCTATATTTTGTTTAATTTGTTTCGAGACTTCAAGTAATCCCAAGATTACTGGCCAGTTATGACGCTACACTTATAGGGGTGGGTTTGGGTCGTGACGAAAAATGTTTTACTAAACTGAGGATCTGGGCACCTTTTACCAGTTTACTGTACAGGACCGTTGTGGATGGTTACACACCAGACGATCGGCTGAATGCTTGACCGGTTGTCCACTCAGTCATTCACTTATTTGAAAATTTCCATTTGAATATAACCATCTTGCCAAATCCTCAGAGACTGTATCAAAATCGATTTGATTACAAATTTGCAGAGGAAGAAATGACAAAAGCTCTACAACTTCCATCATAGGCCTCGTTTCTCCTGATTGAATCTTCATCGCCAATTCTATCTGCTAGGTCTTTTCTTCTTCTTTTTCACACCTTATCACTACATATATATATAAATTTGTATTTGTATATTTGCTTATATATCAGCTTTATTTTATCATCAATAGCATGTTTTCAAGAATTACGTTTTTCTTCATCAGGTGTGTGTTTTTGTTTTTAATTAAGCTTCTTTTTTTCTCCACAAATCCTGAAATTAAGCTTCTTTTTTTTTTTTTTTTTTCCTCCACAAATCCCATACCAAATCTAAAGAATTCTTTCTGTTAAGCATATGGTTGTTAATTATTAAGGTGAGCCAATTAACTGGAAAGCTTAAGCGAGTGTTTTTGTTTGAGCAAAAGATTCTTCTCACGCCTCCTTGAAGAGAAGATGAAATTGCTTCGCAAAGAAAATAAAGGTTATATGCCACTATATGCTGAGAATCTTAACCCTTCTTCAAGTTGTAAAGGTTTTACTGTCCTCTCACTTTTGATTTTATGTTGTTTAAAGGTACTTGAATAATGCTTGGTTGACAAATTTTGTGATGCTTTCAAAATTGTAGCCTAGTTTAGGCTAAAATTTGATCATAGCCTAGTTTAGGCTAAAATTCACAAAAAGACAAAATAGGCTAAAATAACTAATAAGACAAAATATCGCATCAAACCCATAATCATTTCACTTTTTCTCTCACAAACATCACATCCACCCACAAAAAAATCCAATCATCTTCCCAAACACAAAAATTTTAGTCTGCTAAAATAGTCAAAAACTAAAATAGCCTACTAAAATAGCAACTTCCCAAACGAAGCCATAAACTGGGAAATGTGCCGATGTAAGCAGAACTTTGCACTTGCCGGTCGACGGCTGATCGTTTCCCTGGACGACCTGCATTTTGCTGATAGCAAAAAATTCATCGTTGGAGAACTTGATATCAGATAGAGTAATTCGTCAAATTTTTATTCAAATTTGATGAAATATTTAGTGAACCATTGGAGATGCCCTCAGTAAGGGTTAATTAGATGAATAGGCTTTTTCACTTGCATAGCACACAAAAGACTATAATAGGAAGTGATTAAACTTTATTGTCCCATTTTAAAACTTGTGTAAATTACATTCACTTTTCCTAAGATTTGAGAAAAAAATTACAGAACTCTACATTTTTGACATATTTACATTGACCACCTTTTTAGCAAGACTAAAATTGCTGAAACTAATGCACTGGTAGGTAAATTTTAAAATAAACAGAGAAATTTGGTAAAAAAATCCACACTAACAATTGTCTAAGGTATTAGTGCCAGTAGATATTTTTTGTTGGTGAGAGGTCCATCATTTGTAAAATAGTTTGGTAAGAAGTCATAGAGAATATTTTGTTTTCAATTTTACCTTTTAACTTTTTTTATCTGTTTGATTTTTAGTTGACTATCTGTTCAAATTTATATCTATCACTTGAAATTTTTTCCTATCTATTCAAATTTTTTTGTCTATCTATTCATATTTTTTCTATGTAAAGTTCAAATTATTTTCATCTGTTGAAATCTTTTAACTGAAAAATCTATCTATTGAAATTCTTTTCTGTCAAAATTTTTATCTATTTAATAGTTGCTCAAATAAAAGTTATCTGTTGAAATTTATCTTTTCAAAAATTGTGTTTGTTCAAATTATCAGTTGAAATTCTATTATTATTTTTATTATATGTTCATTTTTTCAACAAATTTGTTTAACAAACAACAAATTTTCTTTTTATCTGTTTATATCCAACATCTGTCCATCAACAATAAAAACATTAGATAAAGAGAGATCTTCATTGCCAAATGGTAACCGAGGCATAGACACAGATTTATTCAAATTCTGTTTCATTATTATCATCATCAACAACAACAACAACAACAACAACAACAATAATAATAAAAAAACTAAAGAAAATAAAGAAGGAAGCGCCACAATGGAAGATGAAATAAAGAACTACACATATAATACACAATTTTTTTCAATATATTCATTATCATACAAACTCACATATTTATAAGTGATAAAATTTTCATTATACACTACTATTTATCACAATATGTGATTTATCACATGGCATACTACACTTTCCATATGGTAAAACTTTTCTCTATTTCCATTTTGACCCAAAACTCATTAGAATTCCAATTACATCTCTTTTGATGACTATTCAAATATTTCACAACACTTCCCATTGAATAATCATATAATATGCCTTGTTAAAACTTTATCAAGGAAAACTCAATGAAAATTAACATTTGAATTATCGAAACAAGACTTATGGTAGATTTCACGGATCAAATAATCTCCTCCCGTTTGGATTTTAAACCACAAAGAATCTTCCCCCTTAAAAAAATATACTTAACACAAAAAAATCTAACTAAAAAAACTGTTAAAATGCAATTGGACAAAACCCCCCATACTATTTTAAGTATTAATGTTGGGTAGACGTTAAATCCAATTAGGGTGAAAAAAACGATAAATTATTAATTGGTCTTGAGATATTATTATGTGATTATATCTTAGGTCAATTAAAAATTTTATATTTTGTTATGTTTTTCAATTATTTAATATAAAATTGTGAGTTCTATCATTTTACATTATAACATATAAGAGTTTTAGAGATCAACTTTTTTAGTCTTTAAAAGTGAAAATTTTGTTACAAAAGACATTTACGTTGTGTTTGGTTGAGAGATTTGGGGAGTGATTTGGAAAGGGAAAGGGAAAAGGTGTGTGAAACTAAGTGAAAAATAGGTATGTTTTATTTACATTTCACCTTCCATTTCTATTTTCCTTTTCGAATCCCTTCTTAAATTCCCCAACCAAACACAGCATTAGGGACCAATTTCTATCGCCATGAGGAAGTCTCTAAAAGTTCGTTTTGAAAAATAAAAAATAAGACTTTTAGCGACAAAATTTTGAAAATGTCACTCATAAGTATACTTTTAAGAATAAAATAATTTAGTTTCAAAATGATTTATTTTTTGAGACAAAAATTTGATCCAAAAAAATAATAATTCATTATTAATGTCCAATTTTTGTTGTAAAAAATATAATAACGACATTTTTTATAATAAAAATATTTAATCTCTAAAAAATAATTTTATTCCTAAATTTTAATTATTAAAAACTTTAATTTTTTTTTATTGATAATTAATCACAATACATGCGAAATGTCACGCAATCCTAAACCAACTAATAACTGCTCAGAATAAACAGACAAAACTACCCATCGATTTCAATGTAATTGTGGAACAGCACAGATATAACACAACACAAGTCACGACAAACCACAAACTGACTCCACACAAAGCCGCTTCGAGACGGCCACAATGCAAACCGCCACCCCCTCTCTCTCTCTCTCTCTCATATTTATTTGGCAGTTGCCAGTTGCCACCCTATTCCCTGCCGGCTCTCTCTCTCTCTCATATTTATTTGGCGGTTGCCAGTTGCCACCTTATTCCCTTCCAAAAACACCCTCCAACACTTGCCACATTTCGTACTTCTAATAGGCCTGTTTAAGAAGAGATTGATTTAGTGATTTTTTTTTTATATTTTAATTAAAATATGAGATGAATAAAAGTTAAAATGTTTAAAATAATTTTTAAATTTTTTATAAAAATATATGTAAAAAGTAAAACGAATGAAAATAAATATTTAACTTTAAGTTATTTGTTAACTTTTAAATTTTTTAGTAATTTTTTTGACTTTTAGAAGAGGATCTCTTCTAGTCCAGATTTTGGATTAGAGGGCTCTGTTTGTGTCTGTGAGGCCCATCACAGGTTTCGTTTTAGTGATTTGAATCATTCATTTTGTCAGACACTTTGTATATTTCATCCACACAAATAATTATGTCAATCTGATAACTGATAACTGATAACTGTAACTTGTTCAATTTATAGCGTTTTTAACAAAAAAATTATGATTTATTTTAAAAAATACAAAAATTTGTAGTTAAAAACATAAAAAATTAAGCAAATTACACTTATCAGATTGACCTAATTTTTTTGTTTGGATGAAATATACAAAGTAGTTGACGAAATGAACGCTTTAGATTATCGAAACGGGACCCGTGGTGGAGCCCTACGATCCCAAATAGTGCCTTCTAATTCAAAATATGAACTGGAGGGGATCTTCTTTCTTGACTTTTAAGCTAAAGCGAAGAGTTACCAAATGAGGCCTAAAATTTTATTTTAATTCCTTCAGTTTAGTTGTAACAGCCAACTCCCTACATTTTAAGTCAAGTTACAATTTCACTCTTCCATCTATTTACTGTTAACAAAATTGATGAAATTTGTCATTTGAAACATGCACCGTTTTTATTGTCTCATTAACACTCTTACATTTTTAATAAAATCTTACTTTAGTCCGCACATTTTTACCAAAATCTCAATGTAATCTCTACTTTCAATTTTTGTAACTTTATAAAATATAAGGAATTAATTATCATAACTAAAAGTGAAAGGGGCTAAAATAAAATTTTAGTAAAAATATAGGTGCATTAAGTGTAATTTTTACCCCTTTCCTTTTCTTTATATGCCCTCTCATTCGACGACCCAGTCATATAATTATTAGCACCTCTCTCTCCCTCTCTCCCTACACTCAATCTTTGTGAATTTTAATGGCGAAGATTTCACAGAAAAACACTTCAAACACTTCTTCAAACAGCAAACCGGCGACAAAGGCAAAGCGAACACGAAAGAGCGTCCCTCGCGAGTCTCCTCCGCAGCGAAGCTCCATCTATAGGGGTGTCACTAGGTACCAACTATATATAATTCACCTACAATGGAGTCTTGTTCTTGTTCATGTTCTTCGAGCCACTCTCTCTATATTTTTAATTTTATTTTTATTCTTTTTTAAATTGGTGTTTTTAAGGCACCGGTGGACGGGACGCTATGAAGCTCATTTGTGGGACAAGAATTGCTGGAATGAGTCCCAGAAAAAGAAAGGAAGACAAGGTTCAGTTTTAATTTAACCCCTCTTTTAAAAAAAATATTTTGACATTTTTATTTTATTTTGTTATTATTATTGGTATAACTGAATTTTTTTTTTTTTGGTTTACCAATGATGGTGGTTCTGGAATCCAACTGAAATGCAGTATATCTTGGTAAGTTTGATACCATACCATTATCTACCTTCTTACTTATCTTTCATTTTCAAATTCAACTCTAAATACAAAAATAAATTAAAATAAATAAAATAAAATAAAAACAAGAGATGGGTCCGTCTCTATTCTGTGAGATTTTAGGTTCATGAATTTACACTTCTAAATAAATGATTTTTTTTCCTCTATATATATATATATATATATGAATATAAATATTTTATTTGGATGATTAATGGAAAGCTTATTGAAATTGTGATAATTGGATTTAATAGGAGCCTACGACGACGAAGAAACAGCAGCACATGCTTATGACATGGCGGCATTGAAGTACTGGGGACAAGACACCATCCTTAATTTTCCGGTAAATTTCATTATACCAAAATATAATTTACTTAGATTTTGATTTTGGTTTCATTTTGTTTTCTTATTTATTTATTTATTTATTTTGACTGATCATGTAAATTTAATTACTGTGAATTATGTAGCTGTCAACTTATCAAGAAGAGCTTAAAGGAATGGAGAGTCAGTCAAAAGAAGAATATATTGGTTCTCTAAGGAGGTACATATTAATAAATGTATATATAGAGTAGCCATTATTTGAAAATAAAACTATGTTGGATTGAAATTATTGTTTTTCATTTTAATTTGCAGAAAAAGTAGTGGATTTTCTCGCGGAGTCTCTAAATATAGAGGCGTAGCAAGGTAGTGTTGCTAATTCTTGACAAAAATAAGTTTACTTGAACGGAAGTTTTTCTTAATAAATTATAAAATTTTATCATTTTTTAATATCCCATAGACTTTGATGCAAAATGAGTCCTTGCCAAAAGTAGAAGACGTTTTTCTTTAAAACATAATTTAATTTTTATGAGGCAACTATATATTTGTTGTCATAGACCATTTTTTTTTTTAAAAAAAAAAGAATCTTTCGGCCCTTTTAAAGGGTCAGAATTTTTCCATTTTCAAAATTCTTGTCATTTCATTTCTAATGCACTTTCAACTACATGATATTACTTAAAATCTCGATTACTAAAAATCTCGAAACATAGGAATCTAAAGAGGATAGAAATTTTAAATATCCCACTATTCTTTTCTTTTCATTCTTAATGCACTTTTAATTGTATAATACTGATAACTTTTTAAAATGTAAGAATCCTAAAATTAAAAATTTTGAGATAAAAGATCCCTAAAAGTGTGGAATTCATAAATGCAAGTGGTACCACAACGTTGAGGTTTAAACATGCCACTTGGAATGAATATGATTTTTCTTCTTTTTGTCATTAGATGTCCACTAAGTTTGTTGGGAAGGGAAAAAAAGGTAATGGACAAAGTAAATGTAGTACAAAAAATGCTAGAATTGTCAAACCAGTATTGAGGTGCCCCATCACCCATTACTATGGACCTACATGACTATGTTGCATCTGTTTTTCTCTTCTCCTTAAATTAATTTGTATGTGAATTAATTGAACTTCGCCGGCTACTGAACATGCAGGCACCATCACAATGGAAGATGGGAGGCCAGAATTGGGAGGGTGTTTGGCAACAAGTATCTCTATCTTGGAACTTATGGTAATTTTTCATATGTTAATTATCAATATTCCAAGATAACACATCCATATCATTCTCTTTCATCATTTGGATTTTTTCTTTTGTTTAGGGGAAATGGAGAAAAAAAAAATTATATATGTACTTCTTTAAAACCTATACCGACCACCATAGAAAAGAACGGAAATCACCCCTCAAACTCCCACTCGCACAGGAGCGCTCGAATGGAGATCCTAAACAGCTCTAAATCTTCCACCCCTCAAACTCCTGCTCGCAAAGAAGTGCCCGAATGAAGTTCCTGAACCAACCCACCTCTGTTCAACGCTCCCAACCTAAACCAAGACCCACTGCTGAAGCTGAAACACCATGGCTGAAGCACCACTACCACCGATCCTTTCCAATCGAGAGAAAAACCCACCAAAATCACCCATCAAAGCTATCTTGGGCACCAAAGGAGGAGGCTACACAAAAACGAAATAACCAAAACAACAACCTAAGCAAATCTAGAGATTAGATCTGAAAAGGATAAAGAGAAAACTAAAGGGGCTCAAGTTTATTAGGAGAAAACCCAAGAACACAAGAAGAAAAAAGATAGGCTAGCCGACCGCCATGACCAAAGGCGGCGGCCGGCCGGCCAGCGGTGAGGCCCCGAGGTGGAGGTTTTTAGAAAGAGTTTTTTGAGAGAGTTTTTTAGAGGAAAAATTGGTAAACTTTTGTATCCCTTCTTTTCATTCTTAATGCACTTTTAATTGTATAATACTGATAACTTTTTAAAATGTAAGAATCCTAAAATTAAAAATTTTGAGATAAAAGATCCCTAAAAGTGTGGAATTCATAAATGCAAGTGGTACCACAACGTTGAGGTTTAAACATGCCACTTGGAATGAATATGATTTTTCTTCTTTTTGTCATTAGATGTCCACTAAGTTTGTTGGGAAGGGAAAAAAAGGTAATGGACAAAGTAAATGTAGTACAAAAAATGCTAGAATTGTCAAACCAGTATTGAGGTGCCCCATCACCCATTACTATGGACCTACATGACTATGTTGCATCTGTTTTTCTCTTCTCCTTAAATTAATTTGTATGTGAATTAATTGAACTTCGCCGGCTACTGAACATGCAGGCACCATCACAATGGAAGATGGGAGGCCAGAATTGGGAGGGTGTTTGGCAACAAGTATCTCTATCTTGGAACTTATGGTAATTTTTCATATGTTAATTATCAATATTCCAAGATAACACATCCATATCATTCTCTTTCATCATTTGGATTTTTTCTTTTGTTTAGGGGAAATGGAGAAAAAAAAAATTATATATGTACTTCTTTAAAACCTATTTTTCTAATCCACTCAATGAATGCATGAAACCAATATCAAAACACAAATAAAGAAATGATTTCATATTAGATGGTTTGCATGTACATTGGTTGCACTAAGTGCCCGTTAATTTAGCCAAATAAAATAAACTGATATTTCATACTGAATCAACTAAGTCTTGTATCTCAATCAGGTCAGATCTGTTATATAATTCTTCTTTTAACATTATGAGGTTTAAGGTTATATATCCAATTAAATTAAAAATGTATTTGACATATGTAAAAACATTTATGAATTTTGTTCCTTATTAAGTATAATCTTGAAATTAAAGCCATTATTACTTTATCACTAAAACTTCTTTTAAATAAAAAAAAAAAAAAAAAGAGAGAGAGGGAGAAGAAGAGTGGAGAAACAAATGGGGCAAAATACATAAGAAGGGTTAAGGATTTCCAACTTGTGCTGGCAACAAAACCTTGGACATGAGTATGTTAGCAAATGCATATGAACTCCTTGGTTGCCAACCAGGAAACCTCACAAAAACATCCCTTTCACACAATCGTTTCTTAAATCCTTCCAAAAATGTTATTTAAGTAATTAAACAGACATAAATCCATGTCGATACTTCTAATTTTATGGTTAGAGATATTAACCTTGTTATGCCACGTGGCGATACATATGTGGCCATTAGTGTGCTCTTGTTATGTTTGATGAGGCCAAATGAATGCAGTCACATTGATTAATTATTAGAATAAGTCTACGAATATAGAAATTAGTTACAAAATTAGATAGAATATATATAAATGGATTAATTTTTTGAAATTGAATTCCACTAACAAATTTTATAAAATTTTTCATCTATAAATATTTTGTGTTTGGTTGTGTGGCCGGTTTCTATATTTGCAACAAATTTATAATTAATGAAGGGAACCTTTAACAACCCTTATAGTTGCTAATTAATTAAGAAGTAGAAGCAAATCAATCAAGAATAAAGACATTTGGAGTAATGACAAATAGAAAATTAAGTGAAAAGCAAACAAGTACAGTTATTTGGTATACATATAGATCACCAACCCTCAACTGCTATTTAAGATTTCAAACATTAAATTTTCAACCCACCACCAAATTCATCATGCAAATTAAATTCATGAATTCATTATTATTTATATCTTCACTTTGTTTCCCAAATTGCCCCTGAACCATTTTATCATGCAGCTACCCAAGAAGAAGCCGCCACAGCATATGACATGGCAGCCATAGAGTATAGGGGACTTAATGCAGTTACCAATTTTGACCTCAGCAGATACATCAAGTGGTTAAGGCCAAACCAAAACACTACTAACAACCCTCAACCAAATCCTAATCATAGTGTTGACTTGACAAATCCTAGTAATGAAGTAGGACTAGGGTTTCTTTACCAACAAAGCTCTAGCTTCGCTACTGAAGCAACCCTAGTTCCTCCACGTCCTGCTGGTGGTGCCACTGCATCGTCTGCCCTAGGACTTCTACTACAGTCATCAAAGTTTAAGGAAATGTTGGAGAGGACATCAGTTGTTGACTGTCCGTCGACGCCCTTGGAGTCTGATCCTCCCCGGAGTAGCTTCCCAGACGACATACAGACGTATTTTGATTGTCAAGACGCTAGCAGCTATGGCGAGGGAGATGACATTATTTTTGGGGAATTGAATTCATTTGCATCACCCATGTTCCAATGCGAGCTTGATGCATAATAAATTAAAGAATAAGATTACATACACGTCGTATTTTTTTTTGTTGCATTTTCTATCGACTAGACCCTACTCTCATTAATTATGAGTAAGTGGTAGAAAATGCAATAGAAAATGACGTGTACTCCGTAATAATTAAAATAGTACTTCCCTCACCACACATACATACATTCTGCTTTTGTGAATGTGAAGGTGAGGACAGTGACTACAATGATGACAAGGATGGTGATGATGAAAAAAGAGATTAGAGCTCTCTTCTGAATTAGGGAGAATAATTTTTTTTTTTTTTAAATTTCTAATGTTGGTTCATAAATTACTTGTAGATATAGATTGAAATAGACATTCGTTTACCTATCTTTTAATAAGACAATTTTTTTTGGGCTGGTAAGAGCCTGTAGTTTTATTAATTCTTCAATAAATGGATGTTTCACTTTCTGTGGTCTATAAAACGTACTTTATTATGTTCTTGCCATTGATAATTATGTATCTTAATGCCATTCTAGTGATAATTTACTAATTAACAAAGTTATGTCATGTCTCGGGTAATATTTTGATTCGAATTGTGTTGACTTTATTACTTTGTCAAAGGTGGTTGATTTGATACAGTTTGACATACGACAGCTTCATTTAATTTACAAAAAAAAATATACAAAATCAGAAAATTCGCCATGAAATTTACTCAAAAAATTGGTGTATGGTGAATATTGATCATGATGTGTTGTGAGTCATATTAACAATGAATTTAGTCCACACAATGCAATTACGGATAAATTCTACCTATTTTTTTCCAAATTTGTAACATGACTATTTAATTTAAATGATTATAGAAGATGATAGACATTTGGGGTGTGACCCAATGGTCTAGTTATACATCTTAGGATGCAGTGAGTTGTCAGGAGTTCGAGCTGATGAAACAGTAACAAATTCTTCAATTATAATCTAATTATACTAAAATATTAACACTATTTTTTATTATAAAAAATAAAAAAAGAAAAAGAAAAAAAAGGAAAGATTATACGTGAGGATACGTGGGCTGCCTACATGTGTGGTGGGTGCAACTGTGCAATACCCATAATTAGTTTCAATTTATGTTGTGTTTGGTTGGGGGATTTAGAGAGGGATTTTGGAAAGGGAAATAGAAAAGGTGTGTGAAACTAGGTGAAATATAGGTATGCTTTATTCATATTTCACATACCTTTTCCATTTTCCTTTCCAAATCTCTCCCTAAATCTCTCAACCAAACACAACATTAGACTATGTTTGAATGACAAAAATTTTGAAGGAGAATTAGTTTCAGTCAATTATAAACTAATAGCTTTTAAAATATATAAATTGTTACACTTAAGTCACGGTGTCATTCAAAATCAAGAAAAAAGAAGGGTTATTTTAAAATTTTGCAAGAGACCTCAACAAAATCAAAATAACTAAATACATAAATGGTTTAAAAATATTTTAGTTTCTAAAGTATTGATTTTCTTGTATTTTTCATCCCTAATCTTTTAATTTTGTTCTATTTTTTATATATAAAATTATGAAAATATCCTTTCTTTCATTATTGATTTTGAACAATATTGATGATAGGTAATAATTTTTTATATAGATTACATACTCTAGGAATCAAAGTGCAACAATTAATTTATTAGGGACTATTTAGGTAGTTAACCCTGGTAGCTTTGGCCATTCAAGTTATTTCTCTTCAATAATGCTATGAACACATGGGACTCACATTGTGTGAGTCGTATATTCATGTGAGTTATTTGGTAGAATTTTTAATAAATTTTTTAAAATATCTAGCATTACTCATTCAAAAATGTTAGAAATCTCAAAAATTCTACCAAATGTCTCACATCCACCCACATGAAATTCACACGGTGTGGGTCCTACACTCATGTAAGACATTTGGTAGAATTTTTGAGATCTCTAGTATTACTCTTTCAAAAATGTTAGAGATCCCAAAAATTTTACCAAAATTTCTACCAAATGTCTCACATGGGTGTGGGACTCACATGAGACTCACTTGGTGTGGGTCCCACACCCATGTGAGATATTTTGTAAAATTTTTGACGTCTCTAGCATTACTCATTACACTTTATCTCCTTTATGTTTAGTCACTTTCTCACTTTGGCCTTTAAAATTTATTTTTTCTCACTTTGACTCTCCATGTTTCAATTTTTTTTTTTTTCCCCTAAAGTTAATTTTTGTTAAAAATTAGATAGAAAATGACACATTGACAGTCACGTAGTATAAAAATATTTTGTTATATATGACTCACATTTTTTTTTGATCAACAAAAGCCAACTTTATTGAAGAAGAAAGTAAGGCATACAAGCTTACAACAATAAAGAGAGAAGAGCATGAAGCAGAAGGCCCTAAATTGGTGAGGAACCAATAGAGGGAACAGAAAGGATAGAAAAAAGAAAGAAAGCAGCAGCGGAGAACCAACTAATCAAACTTACAACACTACATCCGGCACCTAACATCATACCAGCAGCAGACCTGCTAAACAGAACAAACCAATAAGCCAAACCACCAGAAGACCACCAGTGGAGCACAATGCGCAGAACTGAACAGAACAAACCAACAAACCAAACCCAGCCCCTCTGTCATATACTACTGCAGCCAGCAGGCCTTCAAACCAGTCCCTCCAGCCAGCAGTGGAGCACAATGCGCAGAACTGAACAAAACAACCCAACAAACCAAACCACCATCAGATCACATTCCACACAAACAGAACCTACAAACCAGTCCCTCTATCATATACTAGCCATTTCCCAGCCGGATCTCCTGAATGTTGCAGATAATCTGCTGCACTGAGTAACAGCAATCTAGAGTATAGAGTTTGGCCCACAACGCGATCCTTGTCTTGATTAATTCACACAGCTCCTCCAAGTGCATTTGACTTTCACAGAAGACTTTCTCATTCCTGAATTTCCATAACGACCACAAAACCGCAACTGGTATAATTCGCCAGATCACATTCAGATTATGCCTCCACTTGAAGCCCCTCCACCAATTAAGAATCCCTTCCACTGTTTGTGGAATTACCCAAGACAATCCCCACCACTGCATCAGATCACACCAAATTCTCCAAGCAAACGGGCACCATATAAGAAGATGAAATACAGATTCAAGCCCTTCATGACAAAACACACACATGGCAGATGCTTCCGGTTCCAACACACCTATCCTCTGTAGAAAACTAGCTGTTTTTAGTCTCCCCTTCCAAGCTAGCCAGACGAGAAATTGAGCCTTTGGGGGAGAAAATTTATTCCAGATTAACTTTGTTACCAGTACTGGAGCTGAGGGCAAAGCCAAAGAATACAGAGATGAGACCGAAAACTCAGCAGAAGGAGATGCCAACCACCCAAGACGATCCTCCCTATCCGATAGGCCAACCAAATTCTGCTCCAAGAAGGTACTCAACCTTGTAAGCTCATCATTCTCCCAACCCAATAACCTTCTTCTAAACTTGAAAATCCACCTGGGTGAGGCTTCATTCCTATGTGACACCACTCTCAAAGACACCTCCTTTTCAGTTGAGAGACTATACAGCCTAGGAAACTCATTCTTAACACAGTAAGCCCCCATCCAGTAGTCAGTCCAGAACTGAATTCTAATCCCATTTCCCACCACTTTGCTCCCTTTATGTTTAGTCACTTTCTCACTTTGGCCTTTAAAATTTATTTTTTCTCACTTTGACTCTCCATGTTTCAAGTTTTTTTTTTTTTTTTTTCCCCAAAGTTAATTTTTGTTAAAAATTAGATAGAAAATGACACATTGACAATCACGTAGTATAAAAATATTTTGTTATATATGACTCACATGTCTGACATAAACTTAAACTTAAATATAATAATATATTTTTTTATATTATGTGACAGTTATTGTGACAATTTATGTTTAATTTTGAACATAAGGTGGTTTTAGGAATAAATTGAAAAAAACTTAAAACATGAATGCCTAAAATGAAAAAAAAAATGCAAATTTTAAGGGTTAGAGTATGAAAGTGACCAAAGTTAAAAAAGTAAAGTGTAATTTCCCCACCAATGAAATATATGACACAAAATTCTTTTTATTGTGATTCATACAACATCAAATTTAAATTTAGTTATATATTTTATTTCTTACATATTTTTATGGCATATTTTTTTGTGTATAACGTTTTTTTTATCAACTTTTTGTAAGATATTTGGGATTGTAGAATGACAAGGATGGAACAGGGGTTGTGACTTCTGAGCTGTAATGAGCCCATCGTTACTTTCATTGTTGTTTTGTTTTAAAATAAATAGGGTAAATTATATATATATAGACCATCAAATTTGTTTAAAATATGGATTATTATTCTTTGTAATTTAAGAAATTATATACTATTCTTTTCACGCTTTTAATGGCATAATAAATGAACATTTTATTAATAAATTATCAAGTCAATTAATAGTTTTTAATGTTTTTATAAATATATTTCAATTAACAATTCAGGTAATTTTATTATTGTGTAGGAGAATAGTTAGAAATTTTATTTTTTCTGTTAATTATGTTAAATGAAATTTTTTGACAATGAAGTATTTATAATTTTCAGAATTACAAGGGCTATTCGTACTTTAAGTAACGTGTATTTGTAATTTATCCAAATAAATAATAAAAAAAGGAAAAATCTTCTACCATATTTACTTTATTATGTAATTTTCCGATATATATTATATATTTTTGTGATAAATATTACATAATTTTTTGATATAATTACGACCACTTGCAATTAAGAAATAAAATTATACATTTTTGTAGTAATATTACACATTTTTCCATCAAAATATTTTTGAATTACAAAATGTGTAACAATATTCCAAATATTTGTATCATTATCATAAAACTATGTAATTTTCCTATCTCTCCCTATCATATTTATTTTATTTTATTTATTTTTTATGTATGTCCAAGTATCCATAATGGTAACTTCTAGCTAATCAATGTTGACATGAGGTAATCGATGCACCCTAGGAGAGCTTAGCTAATAATTCTAAAATTTACTGTCCGTTAAAATTTAGAAGGCCTGTTTCTTGATGAGTATTGTAAGGGTATTTATTAAGATATTTGATAGGATTATACATCTTTATTATAATAGTGTGTCATAAATATTGTATACTTATTTTAAATTTTTTAAATTAATATCTTCAGAACACTCATCAACAAGACTTAATTATAAAATAAGAAAATTTTGATGCATAATTATGTGACTTGAAATTAATTGGGAGGGCAAAATGAATGCCAAATAGTAAAGGTTTTAAAATTTTCTACAACTGAATTTTCTATCCGATTTGAAATAATAAATAATAACTGGAACAAGGGATAGAAATTTTGGTGGGAAGTTAGTTATTTTAATTGGTTTTTTTAACTATTTTAGTTTGGTTAAAAAAAAATTATATTTGCGAAGATAATTGACTTTTTTTATATTATTATAATAATTGATTTGATGGTTGTGATAGAAAAAATGAAATAATTATACTTTAAATGTGACATTTTATTTTGTTAATTATTTTAATATATTTTATTTTTATTGACTATTTTAACCTGCAAAGTCTTACAATGACTCAAAGTCACCCTTTTGGCTTTGTTCCCATTTTATGTTATTTTCATAAAAAATGAGTGTGAGATCCACATCACATGGGACTCACATAGGTCATATATATATGTGAGTATTATGTAGAATATTTGATAATTTATTTGAGTAAATTATGCCTCTCTTTACATTTGGAAAAACATATAATTAGCCCTACACTTTGACATAATTACTTCCACAAGGCTAATTTATTCAGACCAACCACCAAATTACTTCTGTTAATTTTCCCATTATATCATGAATTGATCTGACTTAGTTAAAAAAATAATTTATTCGTTAAACATAAACTTATTAAAAAAATGTTAACAAAATATAATTTGTTTGATAAATTTCTAACTTTCTCATTTTTCTAATAATTTTTTGTGCCAGTAAATTTGACTAATTTGACTTTCTTGGCAGAAAATGAGTTTAACAAATGAGTGACGTTTTTATTTTTATTTTTTATTTTTATTTTCTCAACAAAATAAGCTTGTTTAGTCTAGTAAAAGGTTGAGAGCAGCCACCAATTCAAACCCTTTGATTGACTATATAATTCCTCAAGACATCAAGTGATAGAATTAGATTATAAGCCACTTATTTTGAAGTCAAAGCTGATAAAAATAAAATAAAAATGAAATCTGAGTGAAGCTCACTATCAACTTAGCTAATTCCACAATCAAGAAGGGAATCAACTAGCCAATTTTGAATTTTTTTTTTTTTTTGTTCATTAGTGTCACATTCAACTAAAATTTCTGTTCAAAGCTCACAAGCCAATCTTGAAAATTTCCCCCTTCCACTGTCCCCTAATTACTATAATATAGTTTTCCCAAATTAAGAAAAACATTTTATTGTAACATAAGGGCTATTTTATTCAACTAAAAACTCTTTCATTGTTCAACACAAGGGCTATTTATTTTATTTTAATTTTTTTTATATACATTAGAAGTCGGGGAAGGGAATCTTGTCTATGGCCAAACTTGATTCTAAACCACAAGCAGTTTGCAGAAGTAAATGATTATATAATGGATAAATTATAATAAAGCTCCTTAAATTATGACTCTTTTGCATTTTACTCTCTCAATTTCAAAATATAATGGTTAATCACTTCGAATTATTATTTTGTTGTACTGAATACCTTCAGTTAAGATTCTGTTACAGGATTTAAATAAAATCAGGTCATGTGTGAAACACATAATACACTTATTGATTTTTTAGAACTATAATATCCATTATTAATTTTTTTACAACAATAATATCATTATCTAGTGAACTTATTTGTACTTGTCCCCCTTATTTTAGTGGCAAAGTACAAATAAAATCATCAAATATAGGCATTATTGGCCTAAAAATTCAATAAATGTGTCATGTACTTTACATATTGAAAGATCTAAAAATCTCCTAGATATTGATTTGTGATTATATATCAATTTTAATCAGTAAATAGCAATTACAATTAAACAATCAAAGACAAATCAATACAACAATTTTATATGGAAAAATCACAATTGGAGCACCTCCAATTGTGATAAAAAAAATCACGGGTAAAAGCCATAAAACAATCCACTAAAAAGATATAAAGAAATTACTGTAGGACAATCTTCACTGTATTTAAATTAATTAAATTCTGTTGTGTACTAAACAACAACCAGAATATAAAGAAATAAAGGAAATGAGGGAATTTGTTTGATTACAAAAATCAAACTCGAAATAAAAATAAAAATAAATAAATAAAAAACAGATTTTGTTTTGTTACAAAAACAAAATTAAAATCTGATTTAAATAAATAATAAAACACTGAAAATAAATAAAACCACATATTTTATTTTGTTACAAAAACAAAAATAAAATCTGATTAAATAAACAAATTAAAATCGGAATAAAAATTAAACAACTTACTTGGTTAATTTCTTTTGAATAACTATCTGATCAAGTCCAGTGTTTAACATTGTGTCCTTATGACAGATTCGCCCTCTCCACGGTGCTTTCAGAATTTGGACGTCTATCTCCCAGGATGAAATGATCTACCACAAACAATAGCAGCACTACAAATTGTTTGCCTTACGAACACACTAAGTGTTTACACTCTTTCTTTCAGAAATAAAATGCAACAAAATGAAGAATAGAAAAAGCAGATGTGAAATATGAAATTTCTGAATGAATAACATCAAATGAGGGTGGTCCTATTTATAAATGTAAAGGCAGCTCTTGGTTTTAAACTGAACAGGTATGATACCTGTTGGTTTTGAATTCAAACAGATTTGAATCCGTTTAATAATTCAAATAGATAGCAAAAAACGGGAAGGGCCCTGTTTGGGTGTGCACTAATTCCAAACTAGTTTATTTCTGTTTGAAAACGGGAAGGGCCCTGTTTGGATGTACAGAAAATCCAAATCAGTTTAATTTGAATTCTAGATTTTATTTTACCAAAAATAAAATTAAATTCAAATGTTTTTGGCCCAAAAAGATTAGTATTGCGCCGAACAAGCCCAACCCAACCACACACCACGCACCCGCGCCCAAGCCCAAGCCCAGGCCCAGCCCAGCCTGCCCGATCGGACGGACGGACAGCGGCCGCGCGCGCGTGTGGTGATTTTTGGGTCCAATGGGTCTAGTTCATTTTGCCCATAACCTCTCCCTCTAAAACACTTGGGTACCCCTTAGGGCACACCCCAAGTATCTCACCCAAGCCTTATAAACCCTTTCAAAACTTCCCACTAAATCAATGTGGGACAAGCCAATTTACAACCTTAAGGAATTTCCACCAAAACTCCATTTCCATGGAGTACACTTTGGCTTCAATTTCCCATTCACTCGGTAATGGTTTTGAGCAACCAAATATACCACGTGAATCACAACGCGGCATAGAACGCGTTACCACTTTGACCCGTGTAAATCGATGCACGGGGTCCCCCTAAAAAATAGACCAAACTTGAGAAAAAATTCTGGTTTTACCCAGAATTTTTCTACCATTTCCAACAATTACACAGGTATA